GTACTTTCTCCTTAAATGCCTTTCAACTGAAGCCATTTTCTTTGTTGCTTCCCCATGTCCTAATCACATTCTCTCCTCTCTCATCGTCGCCCCTATCTCACACAACTCCCTGGGCCTAAACTCCCGAGTCTCTCATTCCCAGTCCTCAGGTCTCATTGGTCCATGTTCGATAGGTTGCCACTCACCAGCGAATCGGCTGTTGGAAGCCTGCTCATTATCCAACCCCAAAGAGGGCGTGTCACAGAGGGCGACGCCCTGATTGTTATTGGCCAACTCTGGACACCTGCTCCGCCCACCTGCAAGCGAGGGCAAAGGTCAAACAAGAGCAGCCAGGCACAGCAGGGGGGAGTGGCTTGGGAGGGCGTGGCTAGGGGGAGGGAGGGGGGCTATAGAGGGGATGAGTTCAGGTTGGTGGTCTAGGTGGCCATGCTGGAATGGAAATTACAAGAATGCTTTAATCATGTTATCGATAATTAAGGCTTTGCAGCAGTGTGGACCTAATATTATATATATATATATGATATAATTATATTATATATAATTCTTAGCAAACATTTATTTCTCTTCTTTTTCTAGCATGACCACATACCAGAATATTAAATGTTCATGCGTAACTATATGTAGGTGTATTTGTATGTGCATGCATAGGAAGAGATGCATATGTGCATGAAGACTGAATGAGGGGCAGCGCAGCACATAGATATAGGGCACACAGAGTGCCAGTCAAGCAGGGCTATGTCAATGCACATGCCTGCAAGCATTCATCTTACATATGCACATTTACAGCGTACAATAATGTCAGGCAGCACAAGTCGTACTGTTTTCCTACAAATTGAACGGTCATAGGTCATTGTCAAGGCAGTTTTATTGGTGTATTTCGCTAATGGTTTTAGTCGGGCCAAACTATTTTGAATTGGATAACAAATCCAAACGCACAACGTATACACGCGTATGCACACACGTACAAACAATCCACCAAGTAGACATGAAGACATTTCCTTACACTCTTATAGAAATCCAAAGTTCAAACTCATTGTATACATAAGGGACTCTTACAATGGGAGCACATAGCAAACTTAGTCACGCTCCTTCCAGTGCAGAATTTACTCTCTTGTCTCTCTCTCTCTCTCAATCTCTCTTTCTGTCTCAAAATCACACATACACATATGCACACGCGCACACACACAGACACACACGCGCACACACGCGCACACACACACACACAACCACATAGACAGACGTGCAACATATACACATTGGTGCAACACATACTGTACAGCTATATTAGCTACAGTGCCGATGGTGCTTTCATTTCAGGGTAAAAAGAATCAGTGCATGCAGACTGTGCACAGCTCTTCAAGTAAATATAGATGAAAAATGGAAAGATATTGCATACGCATACAAAAGCACACACCAGTACACCCGAGCCACATACAAGCCAGCACATACAAATAAAGACACTCAATCACACACACTTAAACATACTAAGGAAGCGCTGGAAATCATCATGCAAATGCGTATCAGTGCATAAGTTGCAGTAGAAACTAATTTAAAAGGGCTTTTTTTCTGGGGGTGTTTCAGCGTGCATATCTATAGGGAAACTAGTGGGTTAAGCTGGAGTTAATCACCTAATCATTTACTTTTAATATAACAAATCATTCGTGGCTCCTGGCTTTGCTTGTTGCAAGTAATAAAGAAAGTTTTTCTCCAGAAATGGGACAATACTATTGTCCTTAAATGTTTGTACCTTTATAGACCTAGTTCACTGTAGTAACAGCCATTCAAATGCATTATAACAAGGCAACCGGGAATCCTCCTCAAGATGGTGGCCGTCCTATTCTATCCCATCCTACTTTTTGTGGTCGTTTTCGGACCAACATGTCAGAAGAGGAATAACCTTGTATTATTGTATTAGAGACATTATGACAATAGCTGTACACCCCCGACCATTTGAGCCATATAAAAGAGGGCTATTCTCCGTGTTTTTTATTTATAGAAAGGGATCAAGGGGTAGGAGGATTCATCACTATAGTTACCCTTTTCATGAGGCGGCGACGGACAGTCCTCTTCCGTGACGTCGTTTCCCTGGCAAGAGCGAAGACACGACAGATAGAGAGAAGAGAAAAGACATTTACATACCATGTTATATATTGCATTTTACCACATACTACTCCGGGCTCAAATGCGGTGGAAAGAGCCGTGTTGTGTTCACCTCAGAGTCCTGCTCTTCCAGAGGCAGCGAGTAGTTTGGTTCCTTTGGCTCCACGGAAAGATCCTGAATGGAGAGAAAAAGAGACAAGATGGGGTCCAATTAGGTCCAACGAGGAGCTGAAAAGACAGGACTATCTAATGTATGGACCTAGAGCTAAACAACGTAGAATAAGAATTAATTCAGATCAGATAACGTTCGATATGGTGATACAACACACTCATATCTGATTTAGTGTCTTGAAATCCTATGTTCACAAATTCAAATGAGGTTTGTCACGTGACAATAAGTGTGTAGTAAAATGAATACATGGTAAGACCACTTCATATTAACATTAAAACCCCAATGACATGGATATTATTCACATACACTATCCGCTATAATATATTATTCATACATTTGATTTGATATGGACAATAGCTGTTGCTAATCCTAAAGCGACCCTTCTCTCTCTTCTCTCTCTTCTCTCCACCCTCCCCCCTTGCTCACCCCATCCTGCTGGGAGGGTCCCCGGCTCCTCATGGGGGTGTCCTGGTCGTGGTCCCCCGCCGCGTAGCCCCCGTCCCCGGCCCCGCGGGGGGGCTCCCCCTCGCCCCCCCCCGCCAGGTAGGACCCTGACATGGAGGACATGGTGTCAGTGCTGATGTGGGAGTGCTGCGAGTGGGACGACGCCATGGACATCACCGACTGGGCCAGGCTGCTGCTCACCGGGTCTGGCAGACACACACACACACACACACACACACACACACACACATGTGTACATGGACGCATGGACGTGCACGCACACGCAAATCACATACATACACACATGCGTACACAAGCAGGGAAGGAGGCACGATGCATGCACACACACACGCGTGCGGGAAAGCGAACAGGCACGAATCCGCACAGGCATGCCAAATGTACTCATGTGTATACACACCAATGTACACACACATACACACACACACAAATGTGTACGTATAAAATTATATATACAGTTTGCATTTAAAGGACCCTGCTTTTCTTTTTTTTCTGCTTAATAACATAAAATAGAAAAAATCAATAACTCTATACTACCTCAGTGACATCAAACACAGAAAATGACCGTAGCAGCAAACGTGCAAGAACAGGGCTGTGTGTGTGTGTGTGTGCGTGTGTGCAAATGGCTTGTGTGAACGTCCATGCAAATGTGTGTGTGTGTGTGTGTGTGTGTGTGTGTGAGAATGTCCGTGTGTGTGTGTGTGGGGGTGTGTACCTTCAGGAGACGTGATGGTGGAGGAGAGGGGCGTCCCAGCGCAGGATGACTGGTCAATGGCTCCAGACGACGACAGGGTCAGGTTCTCACTGTCTGGCGTCACACCGCACTAGGAACACACGAGAGCCAGGGGACACATTTAAATACACACACACACATCAACACACACACAGAAACGCGCACACACACACACACACACACAGAAACACACACCTCTTGCTGGTCCACGGGCAGTTTGCGACGGCATGCTTGGACCTCAGACTCACTGCAAGACTTCTCATCCTCCTCCTCTGGGAGCACAGATGAATTCTGGGAAAGTGACCTAAAATAAACAACAGAATGTGGGAAGTATAAATACTGGTTGCGGTTTTACCGCATCCAGTAAAAGACAATATAATAACACAGAAGAAGAGGAGGAGGAGGAGGAGGAGGAGGAGGAGGAGGAGGAGGAATAAAACCGAGAGTACAAGAACAGAAATATGCGTCTCAATGCATTTCATTTCACTATTTTGTTTTGTTTCATGTTTTTCGTTTTAAGCATTTTGCCATACCCATAATGTCTTTTTCTGGTATAGTAAACAGAATTTAAACTGCAATTATAACATCATTTCCTTACATTGTTTTCCAAATCGTTGTACCCTTCCTATACACACACACTCACTTCAGACAATATGAAAAGACCATCATTTAGCAGGCCCCAACCAGGTCCTCTGCTCTAATTACCAGCTCCTTCTCTCAAGTAGACGCAGAGTCCCACAGTGTTTTTAATGTTTTTGTACTGTTGAATGTTTGATCCGTTAGATGCCATGTCTCCAAGACAATTTTCATTCAGGACAATAGTGTATTGTACAAAAGTGTATCTTATCTTATCTCTACCCACCCACCACACACACACACACACACACACAGACAGCCCACCCTGCTGGCCTGTCCAGGAGTTCATGACATACAACACACCAGTCCATACCCGTCAACCCTCCCATTTTTCCAGGGATCCTCCCTTATTTTACCCTTCCCTCCCACATTTTTGTACCATTTAATAACCACTTACTTGTAGTCACTTACTTAATGTAAGAACTAGTTATCCCAATCCTTGTTGCACTGATATTTTAAAGCCAGTTGTTGCCAAGTGTTGACATTTTCAGATTCTTCAGGTACCCTTGTCTAAATGTAAAGTGTATGTGGACAGTGGCAGGGGTGGCAGTGGCAAAATGTCCCTGATTTTCAAATCCTAATGTCGACAGCTATGCACCGGTCTCTCTCTGTGTGAAACGTACTTGGACCCGCTCTTCTTGAGCTTGATCCCCTGGCTGGAGTTGGAGTGGTCCAGTGGGGAGGGGGAGCGTGCCGGGGTGGGGTGGGTCTCCCCGCTGTAGGGGGGCAGGGCTCCGGTGATGTGGCTGGGGCCCGAGTGGAGCGGGGGGGCCGCCGGCGACGTGCTCAGGGGGCCGTTGAGCGCCTCCAGCAGGGACACGGCCTCGTAGCCCGGGGGGATGTGCTCCATCGCCTAGCAACCACAGCCAAAGAAAAAATGACCCGGTGTGTAACGGTGGTCCTCATTGGCTCAACTGGGAGAGCATGGCATTAACATCGCCAGGGTCAGGGGTTCAATTCCTACTGGGACCACTCATGCTAAAAATGTATGCGCTATTGTAAGACGCTTTGGATAAAAGCGTCCACCAAATGGCATATATAATATAATATAAATTATATTAATGACAGACGCGGATAGAGAACATATGGATCTAATGGGCTCTATAGCAGTATGTACATGTACCAGACATATAGTACATACAGCAAATGTGTCCTGAATATTTCTTAATATGTTTCAATGTACTCACAATGAATACCATTAATATAGACCCTGTAGTGACTATATAGTCCGCTTGAATGGGATAAATAAATTTTGGTATCTATCGGTGTGTGTGTGTGTGTGTGTGTGTGTGTGTGTGCGTGTGTGCGTGTGCGTGCGTCGTACCGAGTTGTCCTCCGAGTCGGAGGTCTGGGAGGTGATGACGGGGTTAAAGCTGCTGGGAGACAGCGGGCTCAGCTTCTTCCTCATGGCTCGGATCTGCAGCAGCGCTCGGAACGCTGCCAACGCAAACACAACGACGACATCGATCACAGAAAGACGGTATCCCATGTAGGACACACACAGTATCGTGTTTTAAATTTGTAACTACCATTTGAAACTACTATATTAATTTAGCAGCCGCTTGTATCCAAAGCGATTTACAGTGAATCCAGACATTAAGTGGTCATTAAGTAGGGTAGTGGTTTCGGCATTTTGCTCAAGGGTGCCAACAGGTTAGACTGTGGACATTGGGGGATCAAACTCGGTGATGTTTGCTCTCTAAAAACCGTATTATGTTCACGATCTGAATGAAGTCATGTATAAGTCATATCTTTCTGTCTAGGGGAGGACAAAATGCTTAGTCTGCGGTGGTGAAAGGAGCGAGGACTCACGCAGTCGGCATATGGGGCAGCAGTTGGCCTGGTAGCGTAGCGTGTCGGCGCAGGCGTTGCACAGACACAGGTGGCGGCAGGGCAGGATGAGCGTGTCGCGGATGTCCGACAGACACACCACGCACTCGGCGCTGTTGTCGCTGATCTCGTCGTCCACCACCTGCAGAAGCAGCAGATATTAAAGGGGGGGGGGGGGGGGGGGGCTGAAATTTGTTTTGTCCACCAACATCTGCCTATAATATTAATGTCACGGTGAATGAATGCGCATTGCACCATACTATGGTGGTTGTTAATCATATACAGGACACCTTTATGAGACCTTTCAAAGCTTTTCAATTATTTTCTCCCATGGAAAATGTCTCATCAAATATCCATAGCGTATAAGTCAGCAATCTCCCATGACCGACTCTAGGCGTGGTACCGACCCCGGGGTGGAGAAACCCTGGGGTCAGCTATTCACCCTGGCATTGGTAGACGCCCAAACGGAAGAGGTTTATCTCCGACTGCTAGCCTGTCGGAAGAACCCGGTAACGCAAGGAGTGCCGGCCGCCGCGTTGTACCTTGGATTCTTGGCTGTTGTATTTGTTCTCGATGCCATATATCTCCTGCAGCAGGTAGCTGACTCCGTCCACCTGGGGAGAGGAACGGCTTTGAGAACAAAACACAATCCTGGGCCATGTGGGACCGGAGGGAACATTCCAGGCGGGGCTGGCTTTGGGTTTATCCAGGTCAACAAGACAACAGCCGTACACACAAACGAATGATAGGGAGGGCGGGGGGGGGGGGGGGGGGGGGGGTATGGGTGGGTGGGTGGGTGGGTGGAGGCGGGTGGGGGCGTTTTACACTTACCACTTGTTTCTGCTTCAACGGTTTCACACAGAAGCTGCCATCCATGTGCTGCCAAAGACACCACATGACTCTTCAGATTACAGATACACTTCTTCATAGACTGTAGATGTATGAGACACTGTTCAAATGTTGTTGCTTTTTATGATTTTTTGACCCAATTTGGGTGTGATGTTTTACCTCATTTTCCTCTTATTCAATAACAATAACTAGCACCAGTTGCTGCTATTCAACATCTTGTCTGTATCAACAGGACCATTTTTCTTACCTTCTCAAATGTCGCCAGTAGTACGTGAGAGTGGCCCATATGCTCTGCAATGGAAAATGACAGAAATATGCTTATACCTTTGTTGGCGTATATGTATCAGACGTGTCTCTGTTTACGCCTTGTGTAGACACCAGATATACACAGATTGTGTTGATCACACCTAGAATTAACATTGGGCTCCTGTTTCCATCTCCCCCACCCACATGAAAATAACAGCACATCCACACAGCAGTGGCGAGCCCTGATATATTCAAAGCTCTAGCAGTGGTATGCATCCATCGTGCCTTAGTCGAGATGTTTACAGGTAATATGCAAAAACATGTAGCCATGACAACAACAAATGTGCGAGTAATTGTGAGTAACAAATGAGTCCTGGAATGCATTACATCACCGAATGGCTACACGGTGTTTCCTTTGTGATAAAACACACACCTGGCTATTTAGCTGGACAGATGTTTTGCTAACTACAACCGAAGGCCCATTTCAATGGTGAGAAAAACACTGAGGGTTGACTCATACAGACAGGAAGCTGGTGGTAACTGACCTTCCCCCTCATCTACCACAGCCTGCACCACCATCGGGAAGACCTCCTTGTCCATGTCAAACAGCAGCTATCCACCAGAAGAGGGAAGGAATCAGATCTTTATTATCAGAGGTGGAAAGTAACAAATTACAATGACTCCTGTTATTGTAATTGAGTAGGTTTTTTGTATACTTTTTATACAAGTCATATTTTTAATCAGTAATTTTACTTTTCCCTAAGTATATATTATTTGAAGTAATGTACTTTGCTACATTTTAAATCGCAGAGTAAAATCAATCCAGAATCTGTCCAATCCATTGGCTCTGGCTCACTGCAGTGCAACGAGAATACGTTGCCGCTGAATCACAAAGGAGATGGAGACAGATCAGTTGGAAAACCCTTCTGCAGACCTAAATCGAACTGAAATCCCATCGGATTTGATTGAAGATATAACTCCCCCCACCAAAGAAAAAGTAAAGTAACTTTTACTGAGTACATTTTAAATTAGCCTTATATTACTGCTGTTAAAGTAGACTTTAACAGCAGTAATTTGACTTCTACTTAAGTCCAATTGCGTCAAAGTAACAGTACTTCTACCTAAGCCTATTTTTTTTACTCTTTCCACCTCTGTTTTGTGATTATTTTTTATTGTTGTCAGCTTACTATGTTGTGCTGTAGGCTACAAAACTCATCTCACAAAATATGTTTTGCGCTGTTGATTTTGTAGGGCCAGGAATACACGGGTACACAGGAGCCTACCTCCTCGTCGGCCCATTCGCTGAGGTTGACGGAGTGGGAGGGCAGACAGAACTGCTGGCTGACTCCTCTCTTAAAGTGCACCGTCTCTGACTGCAGAGAGCTGTCCTGGGGTAGGTAACTGCATGGAGAGAGGGCCAATCAATCACACCGTCTGCCAGCGAGGGCTGACCAAGGCATGACACACAATTCAGGATCCAATTAAAATGTAATATTATGTTTGATTACCTAAAGTATCATACTACACTATCAACATCATGAATTCCAATTATTAATTTTTCTTAAAGATTGAGTAATTACATGTATGTAATAACTGAACAAGTGAAAGTGTCATGAATGATACCTACATTTTCCCCAAATCAAAACATTACATATAATCATCTAATACTGACCAGTTGTGTTGCACAAGCCTCCCACACACTTACATTGGCACTCCATTGTGGAACTCTTCCATCGCTTGGTAGTAGATGGTTATGGCCACCTGTGTGTCGGCGTCAAACGTGAACTCGATGTTATAACAGGCCCTGTTCTTCACCGCCTCGTCTTCGCCCGGCAACTTCAGGTCCTCGCTGCACCTGCGGGAGGGTGGGGGTGGGAGGAGGGAGGTGGAAGGGGAGAAAAATCACAGAAGGCCATTTAAGGCTCAGAATGGGACAGTGCCGTCCGTCTCTGGTGGAGCCCAGCATTGCAATTCCTGTTTTCTGGTTGGCTTCAATTAGTGCCGAGTGAAGTCCCCAGCCTTGTTTAAATTTGAATGATAATCATTAAAAAAAAATGGCAGGCTTGGATGATGGCAGAGAGACAGAGGTCCATTAGGAAAACATAATCACAAACGCCATTAAATTGCATCCGGGCACTCAATGATAATGCATAATTTACACCTGGTGTCTTGGCCTATTAGCCTGAAGCCTGTCTTATAGCCTACATATATATATATATGTATATATATAGAACCAAGATGGCCGCTAGGTGAATTAGGCCCATTAGCAAACCCAATGTGGGAGTGCTGCACATGGGTGGGGGGGGGGGGCGTTTGGTTTATGTACCGTACAAGCCGCAGTGTGTCCTTGCGGATGTTTATAAGGCTCCTCAGCGTTTTCACCGGTTCCTGAGGAGGAGGGGCCGCATAGGGGAACTGAAAGAAAGAAAAAAAACACCCACAGACGTCAGACGTTTTATTTATTCAAACCTGTGCTTTGAGGAGCCCACACAATGAATGTATGAATAAGTACAAGGTGTCCATGCCTATTTATAGCTTTGAGAAACAATGTGATTCTTCCTCTGTACCTTTCTACCCCGGTAGTCATTTTCCAACCGGGGCCCCCTGGCTGGCTGTAAGAGGGCATGTCCACGGAGGCAGTACATGCTGAACAATGTGGTTTCTTGATGTTTAGTACATGTTATGATCTTGGGTGGCCCTAGCGAGATTGGAGCACATTCATGCGGTCCTCCTTGGCAGAGGTCGGGAAACCTCTGTGCTCCTTTAGCATACCAATTTGGGTTTCGAAAAACATGTCTACACCGACACAGACTATTCCAGAAGTGTCACCTTGTCAGCACGTTTCACACACGGTGCTAAAAAGTGCCGAAACCAGCTCACACCGGGTCTTCCTCATTTACCTGGAGCCTGAGGCCGATGCCACAGATCGGCATCGTTCACAGAGCAGCAGCACCCATGGAAAACCCAGAGAGGCAACACAAACCGGGTTTAGTGGCAGTGGTGTTTATCTGGTGTCCTTACCATGTCTATCTGCATGCACATACACA